TGTGCCTGCTGGTCCTGGAATTCCCCATCCTAGGGAAAAGACAATTACCATCAACTCTATCTATTCCCCTCATTATCTTATAAACTTCTATCAGTGGTCCCTCAACCTCATATGCTCCAGTGGAAAAATAGACCCAGCCAATCCAGCCTCTCCTCCTAACTCAAACCTTCCATACTGATAATATCCTTCCTGTAACTGGGAAACCATAACTGGACACAGTATTCCAGAAGAGGCCTTGCCAATGTCCCTGAAAAACCTCAATGACTTACCAACTGAGGGCTGAATAATGAAGGCAAGCGTGCTAAACACCTTTTTAACCACCCTGTCTATATGTGACGCAAACTTCAAAGAATTGTACCTGTACCGCTAGGCCCCTCTGTTCTACAACACTACACAAGGCCCTAACATTAATTGTATAAGCCCTACCCTTGTTTGTTATACCAAAATGCAATACCTCACATTTATCCAGATTGAACTCCATCTGCCATTTTTCAGCCTATTGACCCATTTGATCAAGATCCCTTTGTAGTCTTAGAAAACCTTCTTCACTGTCTACTATGCCACCAATTTTGGTGTTATCTGCAAATTTAGTAAGTGTGCCTTCTATATTCTCATCCAATCATTTATATAAATGACAAACAAGAGGACCCAGAACCGATCCCTATGGAACACCTCTGATCACTGGCCTCCAGCCCGAAAAGCAACCTTCCACCATTATTCTGTCTCTTGCTGTTAATATTCTGATACTACTAAAATAGAGATGATTGAGAAATTCTCCATTTTATCTGAAGACTGCACTGCTTTAAATCATTGGGATTAATTTTGAGCACATAATTGAAAGGTTTCTGTGTCTTGTTTATGGGGTTGTAAACCATTTAAATTTACGAATAAGAATTGCTTCCATGACTTGTGCAAAAGTTGAATTTTTTTTGATATTTCTATTTCAACAGCTCTTGTACTAGTGGCATTAACATTCATAACCAGGTTCACATTAATGTGGAAATTGTGCTCAAATTTGCTTTTGCTGTATGTGAAAGCAGGGGAACAAATGGCTTGCATATAGTACCTTTCAAGTTGAGACTTAAGACACTTAACACAACACTAACACCTTTGTCTGCATTCAGGATACAGTGATTTTTCTTTTTGTCCAAATACCACAGTGGCTTTGCTGGAATGTCCTGATATTAGCTTTAGAATGAATGTCTACGTAGTTTGTTTTCCTTTTGTTGTAAGAATATCTGAAGCTAATGGTGCCATGCAAACACTTAAATGCGATGTTTTGCAAGATATCCTTGTGTCACTTATTGAATTTTGTTCAGATTGTGGCTTGGATAAATCTACAAGGCAGGAATAGGATATTTGGTCTCTGTAGCTTCCTCTACCATGTTAAGTTTGTGGCTGATTTTTTGATTGTAGCCTCCACTCAATGTTCACACCTAACCTGAACCTTTCACACTCCACTCTGATGCTCATTGTCACCAAATGACCTCCCTGATTTAAGATCATGAATCCTCTTTGCCAGTATTCCGTATCCAGTTAAAGATAGTGTGATTTGGACATCATAATAAAGAACTGTAATCCTGTATAATGGTTTCATGTGCTTTAACATAATCTGTCTTTATGGAAAATGAACTGAGATATTTTGTTGATGAGGCACAATTTAAAATGAACACCTGAAATATTTTCTTTGAAAAAGACCTGGATGAGCAAGATAAAACTTAGTCAAAAAGCTGTATGTTCTGAGTTGTGGAAAATGAGTATTATTACCAATTCTCTCTCTGCCTGTGTGTCTCTTATGTGCCCCATCTTTCCATTTTGGGAATTCTAAAGTTGTCAATATAGTGCTGCTTTCTAGGGCAGAGTTCACCATCCAAAGACTGAGCAACTTGCTCTTCCTTTTGCCCTCCCCCATGAAACCGACTGAGGTCAGGGAATGGACCAGCTGAGTCATTAGTCTGACTGACTGACTGACTGACTGACTGACTACTGTTTAATTAAATTATATTATCTTCATCTTGTCATCTGTACTGTGGAAATCAATGCCAAATTAGATGACTTTGATTGTTCAGAATCTCTTTTAAAAAGTAGTAATATGAGCAACCTGAAGGATTCTAGTTTTTGGTTGGGAAGAGTGGAGCAGTGAAAGATATATTAAGCATTAGAGACCTCCATCACTTTGGGATAGGAGATACACACTTAGAATGAGAATCTTTCCATGTAGATTGATCAAAGAGACATGATTCAAGCAATAAAGGGCATTAAGTACATTGCAGAATTTCTTTCCGATAAATACCGCAGTGAGCTCTTGAAATAGAGTTTAGACCAGCAGAGTGCTGTTTTCTTTCGTAGGAAAAATGGTAAGAGCCTGTTGATGAAGCTAAATGGAGTTTCACTACCAGCAACAGTTGCTTAAGTATTTTTCTTTAAACTGCGCTATATTTAATATTCGGAGGTTCAGTAATATAGTGGGTGTGTCCTTCAGCTAGTATACCAAAGATTTGGATTAATGATCTAGAGCAGCTGGGGAATTTGAATTCAGTTAATTAAATCAAGTGGAATAAAAAGCTGGCAGCTGTCCCAGTAGCTTACTGGATCGTCATAGAATTCTATTTGGTTTGCTAATATATTTTAGTGAAAAAAGTCTCTTTACTCAGTTTCTGGCAATGTGATTAACTGTTGACTGCTCTCTGAAATTAAGTTAACACATTTTGAGATTGATACAAATCCCCAAGCTTGACCAATTTGGTCAATAGAGCTGCTACCAGTCCCTTTTCATCGATGGGCATGGAAAAAGTACTCTGGGGATTTTTGAAGTAGTATTCAACATGAAGTAGTATTTAAGCGAGAACAGTTCATGG